TATTTTACGTAAGAATGATAAATATCAGTATCAAATTAACTACAGTGACAAAACATAGAAAAACAAGAACATGGGCACACCATTGGTGATTTTGATTATGTAGAATTTCAAGAGTAAAGATTTTTCCCTCTCAAAATTGAAAAAAATTATACACCATCAAAAAATATCACAGCATTATAGCAACATGATAGAAGCTGATGTACTTTTCAAGCCACAAAAGTAAGCAATCCTAATAAATGAATTAAAACTGTATTACAGGGTACATGTACTAAAGGTACTAAATTTGATTTTTAGAGAGAAAAATATACCATACAGCAATTGTTTAACACACTAATAAACTCCACTTTCAATTGGATGAATATAAATAAAGTCATCTTGTAACCGAAATATTGAAATAGAATAATTGTAAAATCACATCCAGAAGATTGTATAACGACAAACAAGTGAATGGCACCTGTTTAATAATTAGATATAGTAGAGCCAAACAATGAGTTAAACAGCATCAAAACCTATAGCTGCTTCGTCCTAGGACTCGTCATTGATGCTAATGGCTTAAATTTTGAAGCCTTAAGAAATGACTGAAGTAAATTCAAAGTTATTGAAAGTAAATCTTGATGGGGAAATGCAATAAATTTCATAAATTTCCTAATTTGTATCTTTTTATATATCTAATAATTTCAATTTCAGAAGAAAAGCTAAGCTCTTTCCATAGTGCACTGTATACAAAAGAAAAAATATTGCAGTTCAATAAGAATATACATAAAGTTAATATCTTTTGGAATCATTTGTATATGTTTTCAAATTCAATATAAATAAAACAAAAAATTATTTAATGATTGAAAGCAACATATACACATGCCAAATTCTAAACAACCCAATAAACAAACCATATTTAAGCATCATTTATGGACATTCAACTCTTTCATCATAGTAAGTTTATATATGATATTTTCAAACATCAGGACAATTTTTTAGGTTCCACAATCTACTATGAACAAGAACTAAATTTAGTGTGGTATCATATATGCAATATAAATCATAAGATTTAATATCTTTTCAGAAACGATGGAATTTTTCAGGACATCTATCTTATTTTTTACATAACATGTAATCAATTTGACACTTTTATTATCTAAACAACCAGGCAGTGTTCTGGCAGCATTACAAGCAGATCTACAGAGCAAAACCAGCAATAGGAGTATGCTTAGTGAACAAGAACACCACGAGTACCTAGTTAGAACATTGAAAAAATGTTGTTTGTACCGTGAAATGCATTGAAACAAACTAAGTATTGATAAAACCATATCAATGGAGAAGTGAAAACCAGGAAAAATACACAACATGTCAGGTTGTTACAAGGTCACATGTTTAAAATGGAATATGATAAATTTTGCATTACAAAGCGATACATGCTCAAACAGAGAAAAAGAATCTGTTTCAGAACAGGGAGTTTTATTCCTATATTTTTCAGGTTATAAATCTGACAGGCAGAAAATGTTTAATGCAGAAAGTGCAGGTAGGAAACCATGACATGCTGTATAAATAATAAATAGGGTGGATAATGTTACAGTTTGTTATTCTAAAGGTTGTGTGTCTCACACATCTGCTGTCTTCCAAATATTTTCATGTCAGTTTACCTATCTTCTGCCAATCACAGATACTGTCCAATCTGTAATTTCATCTGTACCAATCAGAAAACTTTGTTTCCTAAACACAGTGAGAAACAAGTACAATCTTGACACTGCCAAATGACAAAACACTTCTATGCAATTTGATTGCTGATAAACAGTAGTCTGTTGGTTCTGTCATTATGGTAACCTAATAGAGATGGGCCTATGTAAAATATCAACATGGTTTATGTGTTTTCCTGTTTACAAGATGATGTCCCGACATCATTAAATATGCTATTACATAATTGTTTGTTTTATTCAGTGTATAATAAATATTTTTATGTTTTACCTCGTGTAATATATAGCCTTAGTACTGTCAGGATTGGATAATGAAAAGATGTCAGATTTGCGGACTATATTGTGACAAGGCAATAATGACTATACTGAGTCAACAGGACTCTATGTTTGACAAGGAAAATTACGATTTCTGCAGCATTTCGCAAATTTATAGATGATGTGATAAAAAGTCTTTCATTTGTTTTCATACATATGATTTATGAAACTTGGCTCAATTTTAATTCTTGATCACTCAGACTTGCTTCATAATTCACATACAAAATGGTACCTCAACCAAAATCCTCTACAGTAACGTCATTGCAATGTTTCTTAACCAACACAGTCAGCTTGTGGTGGTTATTAACTAGCATGGTCAAGTTTTTGTATACATGTTTCTGGGGGGACATAGTAACAAATAATATGCAATAGCATATGTATCAGATACATGTGATATTTAGAAATATTACAAAAACTTATCTGAAAATACTGAAACTTTGATATCAACATTGAAATGACAGAAAAGACACTTCTTATACTTGACTACATATCAAATACATATATAAGGGTATATATAGCTTGAAAATTATGAAATTTTACTTGCAAACATTTCAAAAGCATAAACAAATATGAAATTTAGAAGACAGTAAAAAATTGCATAGAAAACAAGGTATAACTATGTTATACAGGATGAAGGAAACAGAAAATACAATTTGGTGATATTTAAAAATTTCAACTTTTAGAAACATATACCAATCAATTTATTTTAAATGATTAAGGAAATAAGAATATCTTAATTTCTTCTTGGAAATTAAGTTACAAGGAGTATAAGGAAACATACACCACACATACAACTAGGAAAGGTAAAGAAAGGATTGTTATATTTGGGCTGTCGTTCTCCATTCTCCCATGCATACCACATTCCTGGTTAGTGATAGCTTTACCTTAGTAGATGACTGGTGCCTTTATCTGTCAAAATTGTTATAACACAAAATCAGCAAAATTCAGCCAAATCAAAGTATCTGCTTCAGATATATAATGTCAAAAATGAAGTCTTTCATAAACACACAACACCTACAATTTCTAATTTTTCATTTCCAAATTTCCACTTGACTGCAACCACAAATCAAGTGATTGAATTTCAATAGGTGTATGTGCTCCATCCAAAAGTGGAATTGTTGAATTCAATTAGGCAAAGAAATACAATGTATACTATAGAAACAATATCTTCACATCAAATTCTGTATAAAAATATTGCATTGAAAAAAAATTTCTATTTCTTTGATCATCAGAGAAATGGAACATCATTTTATACATTGAAAGCTAAAACACAGGCTACAATACTTTTTTGTACGGTGGTAATGTAATTCTGATATTTGACACTATGGTAGACAAATGTGACTTGACTTTATCAGGTTTAGTATTAACTATAGTTTTATATTGTTTTATACCCTATCAACAGCTTATCATTTAATGCTTGTATTTGTCTAATGTATATTTCACTGTTATGTTTTTACAATGAGTTATGACCTTACAGGTTCTGTAAATAAAGAAGTGATGAAGGGAATATATATATATATATTTCGGCTCCTGTGTATATCCCATACATGTTAAACCTCCATATATGGCAAAAATAAAACTTGAACTAGAAGTGATATCTAAAAGTTTCAAACCAGGCACCAAATAATTTCAATCATGGGAATGAGATCATGCTTCAAATACTAGTATAATGTAACACTGTAATATCAGGTAATTAGGTGGACTTAAAGTGTTTGTGATAGTGGTACATGCTCAGTATTTTGATGGCAACCTTAACTTGATCAAGGCCAGTGATTGGTCTATATATAGAGTACTTGTGAAAGTGAGTCAAGCCACAATCATGCTAAAGGCAGCATACCTTCAACTGTGTATAAAGTATATTATTGTCTTTCATTGGAAATCACAGAGAGAATAGTCATCCTTTTTACTAATTAATGGTTCATGATGATTGCTTCTAAAGAGAATATGATTTTATCCAATATCATATCAGATTATTTATCTGTAACACATTTTTTTGAACATTTGCTTATTTTTTAAGTCTCCAGATTGATTGATTGATTGATTGATTGACTGATTGATTATGCAATATGTCATTGGATTATTTGACACCTACATCAACAGAAACAGCCTTGAACTTGGAAACTAGCAGTGTAAGAGGAACTCTTGGACACGGCTCAAGTACAAAGCTTTTGAGTGATACTGAAGTGGGATGAGCCGAGAAGTGTGTAATGGCCATAAATAATTTTAATTACACTGAAATTTATCAACTGAAGCTCATCTTTACATGTTAAGCTTGTGAAATATATAAGGTTCATATATATACAATGTGTATGAATAATTGTGAACATTGTGAACAACTCAATGTGAAATTACTGTGTGTGCATATCAGTGATTACATTGCTTTTAATTATCTTAACAGTGGTGAATATATCGTCAATTTAGAGGCTAGTTATAAACAGCTGTCTGATTTAGTTTACACTTTGTAATTAGCTCATATCTATCTACATTGTACACTATTTATAAAATCCTGAATTTGAATATGTGGTATCACTTTAACATATAATTTATGGAAATCAACATAACTAAATGACTATTAAGTCCTAGCTTATCTTAACAACACAAACTTTCCTTCCTGCTAAATGTATAATTCTAGGTAAAGTCACTCACATCTTATCACTAACATGAATATAATTCTAGAGCAGGGTTTGTATTATCTACAATAGGACTGGACACAACCAGACAATAAGTAATGTCTTCCAGGTTAGTAGTGTAACTTTAATTAACTTGAGAAGAAATTAACTCCACCTTTAAAACTTCATAAATTATTGTTATTTTGCTAAAAGATGAAAATTCATTTTCCCGACAAAATAAAATTTCTTACCTGATAAAATGAATGAGGTCCTTTATTTCTACCGATGTATTATCCTAATACAGAATGACTATCCTATTTTTCTTCACTGTAATGTCACTGTTAAAAGTAATCTATTCTGTGTAATATTCTATTGTGGTAAGACTTACCTGAACCTTTATCTCCTTAGCACATTCAGTGTGATAGCACTTGTCAGCGAGGTCTGCAGCTGTCAGTCCACTGTTGTCTGTGATATCAGCACTACAACCATTGGCCAGTAGGGTTTGTACACACTGAAAATGACAACACAAAGTCAGCACTGCTGCACCTAGTACGGTAGAGGTAGTGGAGGTTAGACATCCCTAATTTGAATACTATAAGGTAGATGGGATATGATGAGATTTGATAATGCAGTTATTTTGAGGATTTGATATAAAATATTAACAATTTGTAAGGAAAATTAATTGGGATCTAATGGTATAAAACTTGGTCCCAGAAAAGCACCTGTCCTGTCATCCTGACCAGTTATTTTCGCCGACGAACGAGTGATTGAGTGAAACTTTTCATGTAATTCCATGGCATTCTAATAAAATTACATTAACAAAACACTGGCCATTACACAGTATCATCACTTAATCTGGTATTTAAAATATGTATTTTACCATAAAGGGGTGAAAACTTCAATTAGTACACGGATAATAATACAGGTATAGATGCCAATTGTGAAGATATGACCCACTGCTTCTAGAGTCACCTTTTAACATTTTTTACATTATACAACAGTAAATGTTGCTGGAAGTGGGTACAAATCCTTGTACAATTAACTTTTAGTATTCTGTAAAACTTATATCCCTCACCATTTATCTTAGAAATATAGTTAAATAAAACAGCAATATCTTGAAAACAAAGTAAACGATCATCATTTGTAGATATTTACCATTTGGTGTGATAACACAGATATAAAATGACATGCACCGCCCACAACATGCGCCACCCTTGTAAAAGAGGGTGGTATTCTGCACATTGTTTGCAGTTTTCTAACACTCATACCAGTCATCTTGTCTGTGTTAATACATACATATCACGTAGTGTGACACACAAATACCTAGGTAAAGAGATTATACCGAATGATTTCACTGCAGTTGATAAATATATCTTAATCCTTCAGGACCTAAACATTAGCTAATGTACAAACACTCTAATGTGAGTATTCCTTCGAACACAAATCTCAGAAGAAATATTTTATGAGAAAAAGGTATTCGGGCGTCATTCACATTTAACTTACACTTTTGTGTCAATTTTCAAGAGAAAATTGAAGATTTAAGTCCAAATGTTTAGAATATATATGTGTATAATGTGATACAGGCATTTATCATATGTATATAAAGAGTCATTAAGTACCTATATATAAAATATCAGATCAACACCTAAAGGTGGTGATCATGACCTTGATTACATTAGTGTCCATACATAGAGAACTGAATGTACTCCAAGACAAGATCTCTGCCTAAAGGGAGTTTGTTATTATAGTACAGTCAGAAGTAGCTGACTCAACATGAGTTTGCTACTACAACACTAGAAAGACAACAGAATCTGTTACTTCAATGAAATGTTAAGTGAAAACCTTACAGAGAAAACTCATTGTTTGTAGATAAATAATAAAAATAACAATAATAAAAGACTTTATTTAAGGTCGATGACACTTTGAGTTTACAATACTCCTCTTACAAGTGGTCGATATCAGACATGTACAATATTTATAATTGAATATAGATATTTTGCCATTTCCATCACATCTTAAACGCGTTTACAACACTGATTCCTGGTAGCTAGAGGACAAATATCAAAATGCTTAAGTATATCTTACCATACCTAAACTACATACCATGGATGTTCTGTTCACGTAATTGTGTGAATATTTCAAATGTCATACAAAAAATTGTCTGTAAAGTCGGGTGTGTCCTCATAACCTAATGGTTCACCCAAGAATCAATAACAGTACAAAGAGCCGAGTCATTACAAACCTTACACATATCATACGTACGTGATAACATTGGGGATCCTAGATCCATAGAGGGGACCCTCTGACACATGCCCACTAAAGCCAATTTATTACAATGAATTGGTTTTCAATGACCTCCTCCAATACAGCGCTGTCTTATTATTAAGTCAGTTTAGGTGATGTTAACATCTCCCGCTGGTTATATGGGGAAGTAAAATACAGCGTAGGTGTTATACACAGGTAACTCAAACACTGGTGAACTATTTTAGCATCAAATAATCTTTATACGAGGAAAAAAGAAGAAGGAAAATGATGTCATAAAGAAATAATTATCTTCTTAACATGTAACATATGAATGTCAGTTCAATACAGTCTAGTAAATTAAAGGCCTCGAGTTTGATCTCAGTGGAAACATTAAAATACAGTGTGTTTTTCAGGTTTTCTCAAGGTACTAGGTTTTCATTTGTTCTCTCCTTTAATAAGGACAGGCATGTGTGAATTAGGGGCCTAAACATTTCCTCCCCAGAGTTGTTCCCCTTTGGGTCCATCTCCTGGTCCTTACTATATGGGGCCTGTTTAAACACACTGGCTGCATCCCCGATGCTCCTCCATTTTTATGATAATGTTACTATATATTGACATCATAGTCTATCAAATTAGATAAATCTTTAATACATATTGAAAACTAATCATCACATTTAGGCCTTTAGCTAGATCAACATCAATATGACACTGTTATATACTTACATTATTGATCACATCAGATCTGCCATTCATAAAATGTTCATGAATTGTATCACAATGGTGTTACTTCAGAAAATATGATTGTAGGTAACCTTGTTAACATATGTGTGTCATTATCTCTAATATATACTGTGTTATCATACAGATTCAAAATTTTACAGTCCAGACGAAGTCTTCCAGTCAAGTGACACTAATCCTCATTACAGAATCTTGTCTTCATCAAAACTTAGAGAACTCAGCTGGCTGCCATTCTTACGTATTGATCTACACATTTTCATGACATTTTGAATAAAATTTACCTGTTTTAATAACATTCTTTTACCTCAATATAGAACTATTGTGCCTCAGAAATCAGTTAATAGCTCTAACATGACAGTAACATCACACCACACACTACTTAGATACAAAGTCTAAAATAGAACTATACAGAAAATAAAATCTGCCACCATTGTATCATAACCTGGTTAATTCTTTATGTTCTTACCAGTATCCATAACCAGGTTTATTCTATATGTTTTTACCAGTATCCATCACCAGGTTTATTCTATATGTTCTTACCAGTATCCATCACCAGGTTTATTCTATATGTTCTTACCAGTATCCATCACCAGGTTTATTCTATATGTTCTTACTAGTATCTATAACCAGGTTTATTCTATATGTTCTTACCAGTATCCATAACCTGGTTTATTCTATATGTTCTTACTAGTATTCATAACCAGGTTTATTCTATATGTTCTTACTAGTATCTATAACCAGGTTTACTCTATATGTTCCTACTAGTATCCATCACCAGGTTTACTCTATATGCTCTTACTAGTATCTTTAACCAGGTTTTACTCTATATGTTCCTACTAGTATCTATAACCAGGTTTATTCTATATGTTCTTACCAGTATCCATAACCAGGTTTATTCTATATGTTTTTACCAGTATCCATAACCAGGTTTACTCTATATGTTCCTACTAGTATCTATAACCAGGTTTATTCTATATGTTCTTACCAGTATCCATAACCAGGTTTACTCTATATGCTCTTACTAGTATTATTCTATATGTTCTTACCAGTATCCATCACCAGGTTTATTCTATATGTTTTTACCAGTATTCATAACCAGGTTTATTCTATGTTCTTACCAGTATCCATAACCAGGTTATACTATATGTTCTTACCAGTATCCATAACCTGGTTTATTCTATATGTTCTTACCAGTATCCATAACCAGGTTTATTCTATATGTTCTTACTAGTATCCATAACCAGGTTTACTCTATATGCTCTTACTAGTATCTATAACCAGGTTTACTCTATATGTTCCTACTAGTATCTATAACCAGGTTTATTCTATATGTTTTTACCAGTATCCATAACCAGGTTTACTATATAGGCTCTTACTAGTATCTATAACCAGGTTTAATCTATATGTACTTACCAGTATCCATCACCAGGTTTATTCTATATGTTTTTACCAGTATTCATAACCAGGTTTATTCTATGTTCTTACCAGTATCCATAACCAGGTTATACTATATGTTCTTACCAGTATCCATAACCTGGTTTATTCTATATGTTCTTACCAGTATTCATAACCAGGTTTATTCTATGTTCTTACCAGTATCCATAACCAGGTTTATTCTATGTTCTTACTAGTATCCATAACCTGGTTTATTCTATATGTTCTTACCAGTATCCATAACCTGGTTTATTCTATATGTTTTTACCAGTATTCATAACCAGGTTTATTCTATGTTCTTACCAGTATCCATAACCAGGTTTTACTATATGTTCTTACCAGTATCCATAACCAGGTTTATTCTATATGTTCTTACCAGTATCCATAACCTGGTTTATTCTATATGTTCTTACCAGTATCCATAACCAGGTTTATTCTATAAGTTCTTACTAGTATCCATAACCTAGTCTAATCATAGGCTGAAACTTCATACAAACTTTTCCTGAAAATGCATTCTTTATCTATTGTAAAAGGACCTTAATCTTTGACCTTCAGAACTGAATAGCAATTCCAAGTAATCTGTTTAAGTATGGAAGTCTTCTATGATATCTGCCTATGATAAATCTTCCTCATTTCTTTGTAAACAAGTATGAAATTGATCATGTACTTGAAATGTTCAACTAAGATTAGTAACAAGAGTGAACTTAATAATCACAGTAGTTAATAGGGTATTATTTTCATTTCTTAGCAAATCTAATTAAAAAAAAAATTCACAGGATTGATGAAAGTGAATGGACTCCTTGCCTTTGAAACAATGTGCTCTCCAGTTTCAGGACAAGTTACTTTTATATTACAATTGCACCACTTTTTTTTCATTAAACAGATTCCAGCTCTTGAAAGTCTTCGAAATGAAAATATCAAAAAGCAGTAACCTATTTGGACCAAATATTTCAATTTTACCACTGTTTGAATATTTCATATAATATGACTTGTAAGTTCTAGGAAGACTTCAAAAACAATGTTTGGGTGTAATATTGAAATATTACCTGTGTTTAAGTGTTTATTTAAGTTTGATACAACTGACTTTATAAGTTC